AGATAAGAATGGACATTGTTCAAAAACCCCAAGAGATACAGATAAAGATAATGACATTAAGATGATTCCTATCATAGACAAAAAAGCATTCTGTGAGTATTGCATGGCAATACATAGTCCCTTACCGGTTAAACATTCATTGTAATGGAGCAAATCTACCACTAAATTCTTCAAACAATTTACTAAAGAAAAGGAAAAAAATCCAAAATGTCATTTATCTTAATACAATGTCTTTTACAAATCTTTTAAAAAGAAAAGAGTTATTTCCCTTTGAACAGAAATCTAGTAAATAATAAGTATTTCATCAAAAATTTAAATCTAGGGAAAGGGCTTTAACTGAACAAGGAGAAAAGCTAAAATCGTGAAAATCGAACTTGACCTGTAACTTGTAATGATAAAACAATACACCAAATATCAAATCAATTTCTTCAAGCATGAAGAAAAAAAGTCTGGAAAACTGATTTGCCGGACTGACGGATGGACAGATGGACGGACAGACAGACAGACGGACAGAGTGCAAACCTAAAGTCCCCTTCAACTTTGTCGGTAGGGGACTAATTACCATAAATATATTAACAACAAACATACATGATAAGTTGGAAAAGTGTAATCACGTTTGATTCCAATTTCAAATTCAATTGGTCTTGGGAGAACCATGTATTTCTCAGAGACATACTCACAACACAAAATGGACAAGTTGTTGTGAATGATGACAACTCAATACACATATTAACAATGGATGGAGACTTTCTCACCAGTATTGGTGAACAGTTAGGTTTAAACCAGCCTAGGTGTATATATATTGATAGAAGGGGTCAGCTGCTGGTTGGTTGTGAAGGAAACAAATATGAGTGTGCTAAAATTCATGCCCTTAATCAGTCAGGGGACTTATTGAAATAAGTGATTTTTAAATCACTTATTTAAGTAGCAAATTCGATGTTTTGTCACAAATTGTGATTTTGTAGTTTTACCAAAATTTTAAACACATAGGTTTAGATAATATCTTTTCATTAGTAAAATTGAAAAAAATGAACTTTTTGCTTCTTTTTAAGCAGCAAGGTTTATGCCTTTGATGCAATCATTTAGCTGCAAATTCTATTTTAGTTGAAAAAATGCTATAAAAATGGCTTTACATAATGAACTGATACTTTCTTAACAGATTTTTCCCAGCAGTGGGAGTATTTTTCCTGTAAAATTCAAGGTTTCATCTTATAGATTATGTAATAAAATTCTACTGTTCGCCATCAAAATTTCACTGTTCGGGGGTGTTGAAATTAGTGGGGGTTATTAAAATAATGATACTTAAAGAAGTGATTTTTGGAAGGAAATTGAGGTATGATACTTAAACAAGTGATTTTTATGTCATTATCCTAGATTTAGTACAAGGTCATCACCTGACATGACCCGGTAATCCTATCAACACAGATGTTGGTTCTGATAATTTTAGCAACATAATTAGTCCCTGGATCATTAGTATTCTATATTTAAAGCTACAATAAAATTAAATCACTTAGTCTAGTGATTAATTTGTACTACTTAAATAGGTGATTATTAAAGAAAGACAACTCTTACTTCCAACCTTTATGGACACAATGTTACTTGAATCAGTGATTTAGAAAATCACTTATTTAAGTAAGTCCCCTGACTGTTAATATACTTGAATAAATTATATATTTCTGTATGACAAGTAAACATAGGTCATGTAGGTATGAATTGCTGGTCAACTTGATTTTGAATAAAACTATAATATTTTGTTCTATCTCTTTTATGTATTTCTATGTATTATATTGTGCCCAATGTATGGATGGCTATATAAATACTCACTTGCTTATACTACATCTATATTCAGGTCAAGAATATTTTAATTTAGTATAAATATAAACCTTGTTGTTTACTATATCAACATTTAAAGCCACATTTTTGACATGCTAGTAGTAACAAACAATAGAAAGATCCTCCCCCTTACCCAACACATTATTCTTGATCTAATTTAAGTCTTGGCTCTTGCTCCTGAATGTTGAATGTTTAGCGGTTAAGCAGCAAACATTAATTTCCAGTCTTAATGTTTTGGTCCTGCTTTGAAATTTCCAGTTCTTTTCGGCTAAGTATATTAATGTTATAAAAAAGAGATACCCATGGAGGCAAATGTTACCTAGCTTTCAAACTTTAGTTTTGAGCATACCTTATGAAGTCCAAGAAAACTGACATAGAAACTCCTTCAACTAAAATAGAATTATGTTTCCATTATGCCGATTCAAAATTATAACTATTAATTACCTGAATATGAACATCTATTTAGTTAATCTCTGAAATCTAAGTTAGTATGCAGACAAGAAACCTACTGATCTCCAAAATAACCCTGGTTAAAACTTTATCTCAATAGGCCCAGTAAAATTATTCCCCAGGATTGGAGAATTCCCCAGAAAAGTTTTTCCAAGCATCCTTTGTCCTAGGACACATTAGAGGCCTCTAATCTAGAATCTAATGAATTGACTTAATTGGGACAAAAACAACTTCTATAGTACACTTTCACCTAATTGTTGGTAGATCTTGTCTTGCTGATAATTTTTACTGTTTATAGGTTAAAAACCCTTTGAAGTTGTGGAGAAGTAACAAGTTAACTCTTTATTTAACTTATGAGTTTGATTATCCCTTTGGTATCTTTCACCTCTATTTTAACAACCTGCCAACATTTTGTCATATTGATATACAAAGATGTCTATGATTAGCTGTTATTGAAATACAAATGTATATATATGCAAAATCCTGATTAAAAAAGAATCTTCAAGTGACGATTGAAAATAATGAAAATATAACAAAGACAAACATCTGGTGTAATAACATTAGTACATCAGTATATGTTGTTAAAACAAAGATTCAATAAAACAATAGATTATTATATCTGTCTTATCAACCAGACATGTCATCCTCAGGTCAAACTTCTTAACAATGGTTTATCTTGGTATAAAAGGAAAAATAAATCTGTGCAAATTCAGGTATTTTTTTCCCCAGTATTTCATTATATTGAGATGCAGTGGCAGATCCAGAAATTTTCATAAGAGGGGCCCACTGACTGCCTAAGAGGGGGCATGCTCCAGTCATGCTTCAGTGATTCCCTAAATAACCAACCAAATTTTTCCCACAAAGGGGGGGGCTCCCACCCTAAATCCGCCTTTGAGATGTAATGATAACAGAAGGGCAGGAAGTTAGGTCAAGATGAATGAAACTGTCCAAAATATTCTGCTGTTCATTAAACAACTAGAATGCATCACTCATCCATGTTAGCTGCTCTTTCAAATAGTTTAATCATAAACTTATGATTTTAGGTTACCATGTTTGTTAGGTTGCTTTCTAATGACACATGTTAGTTTAATTTATCATGAATGATTTAAACTGTAAACTCAATTCTTATTGACCTCAAAATGTCCTTTAAAAGCTATTCTGTTTCATTGGGTTACTGTCACATTGACATAAATTCTATATTTCCTGTATTCATATTTTTATATACCTGTTCTGTATATATCATATGAAGTAAACTCCATCAGCAATATATATTACTTATTTGTAGAACATTACTTATTCTCCACATGTATATATATATATATATATATATATGTAAAAAAAAAGTAATGTTCTAGGGTGCTGACATATTGCTTTTCCTACATCCAAAGTATGAACAAATTAATAAATTTAATGGACACTTAAAATTTCAACATCACTTAACTTAAATTGACATTTGTGCAACCTAGTGATCAATCACCTAGCATTTACCATAAAATTGATAAGATGCAATCAGAATATTTTTTGATTTTCTCACAAACTGTAAAAAATAATCCTTCAAAGGCAATAACTCAAGTAAAGTCGACTGATGATTTTGGCCATGATGGTTTATTGGTAGATCCTGTTGAGATGATAATTTTTGCTATTTACAGCTTATAGCTATGCACTATAGTTTTTTTCCAAAAAACACAAATTAGGTAAACATGGTCTTTAAAGGGCAATAACTCCTTTAATGAGTTGATCAAGGAATTGGCCATGTTAACTTATTTGTAGATCTTGTACTACTCATCACTTGTGCTAAATATTGTACACTATCACTCTATTGACTTTAGTTTCTACAAAAACACAATAATGGGTAAACATTGTCTTTCAAGGACAATAGTTCCTGACAAATTTAACCATGTGAACTTATTTGTAGGTCTTGTACTGTTGATCATTTTTGCAAATCAACAGTTTCTATTTATCTATTATAGTTTCAAAATTATAGCCAAAATTGCAAAAAAAACAAAATCATCATTTAAGGGTAATAACTCTTATAAGGAAACTTCTGGCAGTTTTTGTCAAATAGATGATGGTAGAATTAAATTGACATTCTGAACATTAAAGCTCACATGAAATATTTTCTACCTTTAACAGTTTACAAGAGAATAGACATTATACATGCATTTTACCCCTATGTTCTATTTTTAACTGTTAACTGACAATAGACAACAAACCCCAAGTGATGGTAATATGTCACCTGGCCCAGTGGCCAAACATTCAGTGATGCATATCTTTCTTACAGCAACAGTATAAATTCAAAGGTGGAAAAACAAACAGCTGGATTTCTTAAGCCCTCAATCTTTCAGTTTCCAAATGTGTAAAACTACTCAATGTGGAAAAGAAAATATATACTTTTTGATAAAATATAACCAAAATATTCAATTCCTTTAAAAAAAAAAAGATAATAGTTTATCTAAAATATTTGCAACTGTAAAAAGGATTTGCAAACAGAAGTTTTGATATCTTAATCAGATAACTTCAATGTCATTTAAAAAAAATATTTATTTGACACAATCCTCTCCCAGGAAATAAAAATTAAGGAAATATTACAGAAATCTCAAATTTTAGGGAAATTTAGACTGATACTTATTCTGTCACAGTTTGATGTACAGAGAAATTAACCACAGAGAGTCAGAGACTGAAGCATATTGTAAGAAGAATATATAAGTGGATGTTAATAGAAGAGGTAAAATGAACTTAACTGAAAGCTGGGGACACAACACATACGCAGAGGCAAAGAAATGAAATGATATGTGAAACGAGGTATGGCTCAAAATCTAATTCTTTGCCAATTATGTGAAAAGCCAAAAGAAATTAGATGGAAATGCTTTATCTGTGACCTTGTCCTATGCGAAAAATGTGTCAAAAAACATTCAAAGTTTGGTGGATCAGTGAAACATTGTGTTATCAACTTAAAACAGGTTGGAAGTCCTGAGAATGTGGACATAATTCGAAAGTTTAACCTTAAAAACATTCGATGCACAAGTCATGAAGAGGAAAAGTGTTCTCTTTTCTGTAAGGAATGTAAAAACCCTGTTTGTTCTTTTTGTGTCCTTGAACCTGAACATAAAGGTCACAACCTTGACAAACTTAGCACTGTGTACAACAATCAGCTATCTGAACTCAAAGATATGAAAAAAGAAATAGAAAAGGCTTTGCCTGATCTTACTAAAAGTGTGAGGGAAACTAAAACAACATGTGACAATTACAATGAAATAAAACAAAAAATCATCCAACACGAAAAAGAATTACAAACTAAGGTTGCTGAAGAAGCTGCAAATCTTATCAATAAACTTGATAAACTTGTAATACCAAGTAAAGATGCCTTCATGGAGGAGAAACAAAGGATTCAAAATAAAGAAATAAAACTGAAGGAGATGAACAACAAAATTACTACTGCTTTACAATCCCATCAAGCAACTGGTGTACTTGATACTATTGACAAAGAAGACAGATTTTTACCACTAAAGCCAAATTCAGATAATATACCACTAGACCAAAAATTCAAATGGACAATTCCAAATTCATCAAGTATCAATTTCGGAACTGTCAAAAAATGTCCAATTTTCAAGGTCATCAATACATATGAAGCAAATATACCCTATATTAAAAAACTCAAGAGTTTAAAAGATGGAACATTAGTCTGTATAAGTGTTAAAGAGGCCGGCTATTTTGTGGGAAACTTTGATGAGCAAGGTGACATGTACTTCATCAAAAATGAAATCTGTATAACTGATGACTTAGACACATTAACAGATATGACAGTAACTGAAGATGACAAGATACTGACTACTGAGGCTTTTGACGGAATACTATGTAAGCATAAATATAGCAAACAATTAACAAGTTTTAAAATTAGAAATAATCATATTGGAAACAATTTTATATATCGCAATGGAATACATTCATTTGACCAGAAAATTTTACTTGGATTTGAGGAATTTTGGGAATATCCAAATCCATTTAGTGAATTTCCAGGAACCGGTGTTATGATCCTTAATGAGAATGGATATTGTTTAAAAACATCATGGAATACAGAAAAAGATTCTGATATTCATATGCTTCGAGACATTAATAAATTAATAACGAATCAAAGAGGAGACATTATCATCATTGATGGGCATATTAACCTTACCATTTTTGATTCTCAATTTAAATTCAAATGGACTTACAGGCATCTTCAGAAATTAATCGACATAGTCACAAGACCAAATGGACAAATTGTTGTGGCTGACATAGACTCAATACTTGTATTATCTATAGAAGGGGACTTTCTAAACAGTATTGGTGAAGAAGATGGTATACATCATCCTACCTGTGTACATATTGACAACAGTGGACAACTTTTAGTTGGGTGTAAAGGAGAAAATAATAAGAATGCAAAAATTCATGTGGTTAAAATACAGGATTAAAGGTGTAATACCACCAAATCATAGTACGTCACATCCGGTTGCATACGAAAATAGGTCGAAAAAAAATATTCCCTTGAACTTGACAGTTGTAGGTAGTTGATCCTACATTTCATTGCAGTAAAACATTTCTGAGTCATAAAGATATATCTTGGGTATTTCAAAGCACCATTATTTCTTTATTTGGGGTTTCTATAGAATATTTTGGAAACTTGAGGTTACATGGTTACTAAAGCTTGTACACAGGTTAAAAAAGGGGGAAAATTTGATTGGTTAACTTCCAGTGATGGTTATTTTCTTATATGCAATGAAATGTTATGTGAATTTTTTTCTATAGTACTGGACAGAATAAATCTTTACTCATGCCAAGTATTTCTTTATTTGAAACAAAGATAAATTCTGCACAATTTTTTGAAAAGTGCAAATTTAACAAAGACTAATAGGGGAAAATCAATGGTGGTATTACACCTAATATGGGAAGCTGTACATGCACCTTTGACCTTGTGAGTACTCTCATGTGTTAAAATTTCTTGCTATTTAAGTGAAATATTACAAATAATGAAATATTCTGAGTGGATTGAGTCTCCAAAATACATTTTATGAGAAAATTTCCTTGAAATAGGACTTTACCATGAATATTAGTTGACAGAACAAGCCATACTTAGAGTTTTGGGGAGCTTTTTCTCCTTATTTCTTATATTCTGCTATACTAGAAAATTTTTCCTAAGAAATACTTTAATAAATATATAGTTTTAAGTAAATGAAATTATTTTTAAAGCAGTAACAACAAATTATTCACCAAAAGAGAAGTTTTTTTATGTCCCTCTCTGGAACGCGGCGTAAATTTAAGTTTTACGTAAGGACTTATTGAAACCTCCTTGGAGACAGTAAACTTTTATACGGATAGTTCATTCAGCTTGAATACTTCAATTAATCATTTATAATAACATTTCTATCATAAATGAGTGAAAGTTACCCCAAAATTTTTATTTATTGACCTAAAAAGTAGAAATTTTGAGGAAATGAGAGGTATGAATGGACCAAAAGAGACCTTATAAGGAAGACAAAGAGGTCCATTAGTAGTATTTATCATCCTAAAGTCATCTTTTATATCATATTCAACTGTTTGTAGGCAGATGAGATAAATATTTGATCATTTATTGGTCCACACTATATTCTATCATGATGCGGCTTGGTATGGATTTTTCGAAGAAATTTTGCTCGAATCGCTGTAGATGTCGTCTTACATTATACTAGATTTTTCTCAAACTATTGAACTGATTATGACAAAACTTGACAGGAATGCTTGAAATAACCAGTATTACAAAGGAAAAAAGTGACATTCAGTTTATTTAACAAAAAAGTCTCCTTTAGGTGTAATACCACCAAATCATAGTACGTCACATCCGGTTGAAAAAAATATTCCCTTGAACTTGACAGTTGTAGGTAGTTGATCCTACATTTCATTGCAGTAAAACATTTCTGAGTCATAAAGATATATCTTGGGTATTTCAAAGCACCATTATTTCTTTATTTGGGGTTTCTATAGAATATTTTGGAAACTTGAGGTTACATGGTTACTAAAGCTTGTACACAGGTTAAAAAAGGGGGAAAATTTGATTGGTTAACTTCCAGTGATGGTTATTTTCTTATATGCAATGAAATGTTATGTGAATTTTTTTCTATAGTACTGGACAGAATAAATCTTTACTCATGCCAAGTATTTCTTTATTTGAAACAAAGATAAATTCTGCACAATTTTTTGAAAAGTGCAAATTTAACAAAGACTAATAGGGGAAAATCAATGGTGGTATTACACCTAAAGTTCTGCATTTGCTTTTCAAGAGGATACTAAACAGTGTTTATCATTAAAGAAAATTGAAGAACTTGCTTGTTGATTAATAATTTAATAAATATTATAACATTATAACTGCATATATCTTTACGTAACCAAGTCCAATTTAAGTAGAGATTGAGAGTCAATCCTCAATAAGAAACAACAGGGGTTGAAATTTATCAAAAGACTTAACTAGAAGCATGTGTCATTCATCTGGATCTATGTACACCTTCAAACAATGGCTTCTTCCAAACATTATAGACTAGAGTATAATTCATGGCTATACTATCTTCTTTGTAGATCTTGTTCTGCTGATATTTTATGCCTTTTAAGAGTCAATTGTCATTTCCCCCTATGTTGACTAATTTGTAGATCACCCTTTTTGCTGTTTACTGTTTTTGTTGTCTGCTATAGTGTATCTCAAAATGTGAGGGGAAAACCAACATGAAAGGGCAATAAGTCCTAAAAAGGGTCAACAATTTTGATATTATTGACATATTTGAAGATCTTGTCCTGCTGATAATTTTTCACTTAAAGTTTTACTCTATCAAGTATACTTTTCAAGTTAATGGGCAAAAGGGAAATTATACGTAAAATTCATCACTTAAGGGCATAACTTCTTTAAGTTGTCTTCAAAGAAATTTGGCCAAAATGGACAGCAGGTAGATCTTAATCATGTTAATAGATTTTCTCTATTAAAAAAACAGTTTTTAAGATAATAGCCAAAACATGCATAATTCTACCCTTTTTTAGCCATGTTGGTTGACAGGTTGGATCATCAGACACATTTTATAAACTTTCTACTCCAATGACGATTTTCACTTAGTTTGATTATAATTGGCAAGAGAGTTTTAATATAGAATACTTTTGTAAAAGTAAACAGAAAACAAACAACAGACACCAAGTGATGGCAATAGTTTACACTTACCCTTTGGACCAGGCCGGCTATTAAGTATAAGGTAACATTTAGTTATACAAATGATCAAAGTATTAAAAAAAACTCTTTAAAATTAAGGACAAATAACAACCTGCCTACATTCTGTCATAGTATATTGACAATACAAAGATAGTCTATAACACAAACTATGATTAGCTGTCATCAGCAAATGAAACACAAATGTATATGCAAAATCAAGATTGAAAAAGCATCATTAGGTGAAGATTACAAATACTGAAAATTTAACAAAGTCAAACAACAAGGATTCATCAAATTAATAGATTATTTCTGGTTCATTGGCTAATAAGGCTTTTTTTCAGAAGTGAACTGGGCCTAAAAACAATATTTACTCATGATTTATATCAACAGGTAAACATCATCAGTATTGAACATGTTAATTTATTTGTATTAGGGCTTATTTGATCCATTATATCATTTAATAATTAAATATGCATTTTTTAACCATTTTCTATGGTTTTTAACCTATTCATTTCTTGAATAAGTCTTCAAACACCACTGAAGAGACATTTTTGTCGAAATGCGCACGCATCTGGTGCAGTTAAATATTTTTATATTTTCCGTAAGCTCAGTTTAAAATGAATTATGACTGCTGAATATTTTTGTAACAATGAAATACTGAATTAATTTAATTGAATAAATAATAATGGCCGTTCTAAACACGAGTATATGAACTAAAAATTGTACTATTTTAAATTAGAATCGGTAACCTTGAATATTTGAAATAGATAATTACCAATTGCAATTATATAATTTGGTCCGTCCAAAGCGATCTTTATTTACATATTCAGGAATTAATGTCCTTATCAAAATATTTTAAATCTCACAACGTATAAATACTTCAGCCATTTGAAGAAAGATAATTAAAAAGTTGACAGGAAATTTAAAGTCAACTTTGTCTTATTGGAATGAGATCGAATAATTAAGAACAAAAATTATTTTCCGGTTTGAAAAACATAAAAAAAATGATAAAAGAGAAATGTGGGTTTGAGACAGAAAAAAATAATTATTTGAGGAGGAATATGGTGGCAAAATACCTGAATCGCCGTTATATATATTTTTTATATTTTGCGTTAGCTCAGTTTTTAAATAGATGGATGAGTACTTTGTTGTAACATCGGAATTCTGAATAACTTTCAATGAAATAATTTAATAAATAAAAATGGCCCACGAAAACGAGCGTATAAACCAAAAACTGTGCTATTTTGAATTATCATCGGTAACCTTGAATATTTAAATGTGCAGAGAAAATTATCAGTTACATTAATATAGTTTGGTCCGTCCAAAGCGATCTACATTTACATAATCGGGAATGTCCTTATTAAAATACTCTACATCTCACAACAATTACTTTAGCTATTTGACCAACGATGTTTAAAAATTTTTTACAGAATCAATCTAACGTCAACTTGCCTTTATTGAATGGAGACAGATCGGCGGAATCAATGTTCAATGTGCTTTATATCTTGTACCTTTGTAAGACTTATCATTCATTCATAAACCATGTCTATACCGCAGACATATATATACATATAATTATATGTCTGTCTTAACTGACAAGAATACTCCTGGTTTTACACTAGTAATTTGTTGGGGCCCTTTATAGCTTAATTGCTGTTCGGTGTGAGCCAAGGCTCCGTGTTGAAGACCGTACTTTGACCTATAATGGTTTACTTTTATAAATTGTGACTTGGATGGAGAGTTGTCTCATTTGCACTCATACCACATCTTCTTATATCTATAAGCAGTATTATCTTTAAATTTCTGTGATTTAATACCAAGAAAGAAAAAAATCCCGAAATTAATTTGATACTTTGATACTCAATATTTTTCCTGGAAAATATTCACATCTTCATTCGGTCTGAAAATAAGATAAGAAACTGGTATACAGAACATGCAGAAGTGTGAATGTCATAAAACCTTGTTATATCAGAAACCATTATAAATGTGAACCTGTATACGTAAGACCTCATGGGACGATGTACCTAACCACATACAGGTAATATACAAGTAGCTCTGTTATACCCGGAAATGTCAAGGTTAATCACTACCGATACAGAATGTACCAATGCAAAGTAAATTCTGATGATTGTGAAGCATGACCATTCATGATTTTAGAGGAGTATTAGGTGGGGGATTGTTGGAACGATTTAAATTCTGACTAGATTTTTTCTCAATTTAAATCACTGAACTAAAAAAAAAAGAAAGGAGAAAACAACGTCCAAGAACAGAATTCTTCTTGTAAATTCATAAATACAACGTTCTTATTTTGTAACTTTCGATAGACTTGACCTCCCCCCCCCCCCTCCCCCCTCAAACCTGGGAACATTATATCTAACAATGTTTATGTTCCTGCCAAAATAAAAAAAAAAAGAAGAAAAAAAAAAGAAAGAGATGAACCACTAGAGATGAACTGTAAGTCACATCAGATTCAGATATTTATATAGTTGATTGTCAATAACTAGAGATGTATAGTTACATGTCTCTGCGTTAACTGATAAGAATAACAGGAAAGTATAAACTTGAAATAGATTTATGATGAATAATATGCAACTGCGGCACCCCTTTTTATCAAAGCGTACATGCATGTATTTTAATGACTGTCCGTTATTTCGATCATAATGACAATTGTACGTGAAATCCTATAGTTGGTGAGACTTTTTTTTTTACCAGATATGCGACTTTTCGTATTTATATTTTCTCTTATATTACTCTTATTTAATATTTTATGCATAAGTGCAATAGTGGGAATGGTTTATTCCCCCACAAGCTAACGTAATAAATTAATCAACCCTCAAGCTGATCAGACGTTAATACAACTACTATCAGTCTATCCGGAGTGAAGTTTCTTTATTTCTTCAAATAAACTTTTGGGGATCATTAGTGTACGTCCAGTGGCATATATATTACATGCATGTCGGAACAGGAAAATTGGCAAAAGGTTCTATTAGAACCATGTTCACATTAATATACATTATACCCAACAATTGTGATGATGACGAATTTCTTCAACTGTTCGAGAACAATCTAATTGAAATATAAATCTGTGATTTTACTATGTCCATAACTTCGATGAACCAAAGCAAGTTAGATATCGACCTGTATTTAAATCAAATTGGTTCTAGATGTTCTTTCTTATATTCAATATACAATTTTAAATTGCGACTATCTATAGTTCCGTAACTTTCTATCTAGGCGTATAAACCAATGATCGACAAGTGCGTATTTTTTAAATCAATAGTTTTTCATGTTTCAAAATTTCCATCATTATTGACAACGAGTATATATACTTACATTTTCCCCAATTTACCCTTGGAAAAATATGTAAATAGATTTTTATTTTATCAAATCTTTTTTTGGAATTATTTAGATTATTCTTTACACTAGAAATGTTATTTATAAACAAGCGTATGAGTTTAGCAATGACTAGTATATCACTATCGGACACGCAAGACAAAGATGTATATTACACCTGATAGTTTTAAAATGGAAAGTTACAAGTTATCGGCCATGTACACGTATTAGATACAATACAAAGGTAACAAAGAAACAGGCCGGTAACAAGCGTTGCCGGATAGTTTTTCTGCACGAGTAGTCAGGTGAAGGTCCGAGGCGATAGCCGAGGACCTTGACCTGACTACGAGTGCAGAAAAACTATTCGGCAGTTTGTTTCCGGCCTGTTTTTTGTTACCTTTGTTTTGTATCTGACTTGTACGACGTTTCAAGAAAGAAGTAGTACATTTTGCATGTAGAAGAGGTAGCAAAATTTAACAGATTCGAAACTTAAATGGCCATATACCAGTTAATGTAAGTTACAGTAAGACAGTTTAAACAAACTTTTTTTTCACTTCCCTTCATCCTATAGTTTTTTCTAAAGAAATTCAAGAATCTAATAATTTCATAAAAAAAGAACCATGTGAAGTAAAAGATGAATGTCGTACACATTTGAGACTTTTAAAAATGCATCTTCGCAAGTAAGTAATGTATGAAAAAGATTTCAGAGGTAAGCAAGCTAACATTTGATTTTTATTTGGGGGAAAACGGAAAGGGGAGCTTGGGTTTTAAAATAAATTTAAAATAAACAGGCTTGAT